GCAGATGACCTGAATAGACATATTCTCAAAGAAGACATACAACAGGTATGTCAACAGGTGTATGAAAAGGTGCTCAACATTGCTAGTCATCAGGGAAATGCAGATCAAAACCGCAGTGAGATATCACCTCACACCTCTTAGGATGGCTGTTATCAAAAAATAACAAGTGTTGGTGAGGGTGTGGGGAGAAGGGAAGCATGGGGAGAAGGGAATGTAAATTGGTACAGCCAAAGTGGAAAACAGGATGGTGGGTCTTCAGAAAGTTAAAAATAGCACTACCATGTGATCCAGCAATCCCACTCCTGGGTGTGTATCCGAAGAAATTGAAATCAATATAGCAAAGAAATCTCTGCACACTCATGTTTCTTATAGCATTATTCACAATAGCCAAGACATGGAACCAACCTAAGTGTCCTTCATCAGGTGAAAGGAGAAAGAGAATGTGGTATGCATGTACACACACACATACATGCCTGCACACAATGGAATGTTATTCAGCCATAAAAAAGAGGGAAATCCTGCCTTTTGCAACTACATAGTGGACCTGGAGCACATTATGCTATGTGAAATAAGCCAGACAGAGAGAAATACTGTGTGGTTTCACTTATATGTGGAATCTAAAAAAATTAAAATAAACAGCCAATTTCATAGAAACAGAGATTAGAATGGTGGTTGCCTGGAGTTGAGGGAAAGAGGAAATAGGGCAGTGTTCTAAGGGTACAAATTTTCAGTTCTGAGGAGAATAAGTTGGGAGGCTCTGATGTACAGCATGGTGATAATAGTTAATGATGTGGCATTGTATACTTGAAAGTTCCTGAGAGTAGATCCTAAGCATTCTCATCACATATACACAGAGTTAACTGTCTGAGGTGATGGATGTTTTAAGTATCTTGTTCTTGGTAATTATTCCACAATGTATGTGTATATCAAATTAACACATTGTACACTTAAATATGTACAATTATATTTGTTAATTATTCCTCAATTTTAAAAAGTGAAATAAATATGAGGAAATTAACATTGATACATACTACAATCTAATCCTCAGACTGCATTCAGATTTCCCACTTTTCCTAATAACATTCTTTCTTTTCTTTTTTTTTTGAGAAAGATTAGCCCTGAGCTAACTAATGCCAATCCTCCTCTTTTTGCTGAGGAAGGCTGGCCCTGAGCTAACATCCATGCCCATCTTCCTCTACTTTATATGTGGGGCGCCTACCACAGCATGGCTTGCCAAGCGGTGCCATGTCCGCACCCGGGATCCAAACCAGCGCACCCCGGGCCTCCGAGAAGCAGAACGTGCAAACTTAACTGCTGTGCCACTGGGCCGGCCCCCCTAATAACATTCTTTATAGCAAAATGATTTAGTTTAGAATCACATATTGTCTTCAGTTGGCATGTCACTTTTAGTCTCTACTCTGAACAGTTCCTCATTCATTCCTTGGTCCTTAGGAAGATTACAGGCCACTTATTTTCCTGGCCTGTAGTGTTCCTAAATTTAGGTTTGCCTGATGTTTCTTCATGGTTAGATTCAGGGCATGCCTCTTTCATAGGAATGTCATAGAACTGATGCTGTGTTCTTCTAAATGAAATAAGCGGCATCCAATTCAGTTCATCCATTACTAATATCATTTGGTCAAGGTGGTGTCTGCCAGATTTCTCCACTGAAAGTTACTTTTTCCCTTTTGTAATTAGTGATTATTTTTGGCGAAATAGTTTGAAACTTGGTGAATATCCGCTATTTATCAGACTTTCTGATTATTCATTTACTAATTTATAGCAGTATGGATTCGTGGCTTTTTTTTTAATTCAATGGATTATAATCTATTTTTACTACTAATTTTGATGTTCAAGTTGTTTTCATATTCGGTCAGTGGGATCTCTTCATGCTGGCTCTCATGTCATTTTCTTATATTTCCGTTATTCTTTGGACGATTCCTTGCTTTCTGGAATAAAATCATTTGTGTTCATTGTTTGCTTTCTCTGCCTCAGCCCTGCAATTAGCCATTTCTTTAAGGAGCCCTAGTTCTTTTAGTGATGAATGGTATTTTAAAAAATTGTTTTTATTGAGATATAGTTGATATACAACATTATATTAGTTTCAGGTATACGACATAGTGATTCAATATTTGTATATATTGCAAAATGATCACCACAATAAGTTTAGTTAACACACATCACCATTAGTTAACTATGTGTGTGGTTATAACACAGTTATAAATGTTTTTCTTGTGATAAGAACTTTTAAGGTCTACTGTCTTAGCAACTTTCAAATATATGATACAGTACTAACCATAGTCACCCTGCTGTGCGTTACGTCCCCAGGACTTATTTATTTTATGACTGGAAGTTTGTACCTTTTGACCACCGTCACCTATTTTGCCCACTCCCTACCCCACCTATGACAGCCATCAATCTGTTCTCTGTATCTATGAGGTGTTTTTGTAAGGTTCCATATATAAGTGAGACCATACAATATTTCTCTTTCTCTGTCTGTCTGATTTCACTTAGCATAATGCCCTCAAGGTCCCCATAATGTCACAAATGGCAAGATTATCCTCTTTTTTATGGCTGAATAATATTCCATTGTGTATATATACCACATCTTTATCCATTCATCCATTGGTGGACACTTAGGTTGTTTCCATGTCTTGGCTGTTGTAAATAATGCTGCAATAAACATGGGGGTGCAGATGAAATTTTGAGTTAGTGTTTTCGTTTTCTTCAGATAAATACTCAGAAGTAGAATTTCTGGATCATATGGTAGTTCTACTTTTAATTTTTTGAGGAACCTCCATACTGTTTTCCATAGTGGCTGCACCAATTTACATTCCCACCAACAGTGCAGTAAATGGTATATTGATGTTAAGAGCACCAGGTGTACTCATTGCTTTTGAAGTATCTCTGCTTCTAAGTTCTTTCAAGGAAGAGATCTAGGAATATATGTATATGAATTTCTGTGTGTGTGTGTGCGTATACACTGTGGTTGCCACACATGTTTATCACAGTAGAGCATTGAGTGAATGATAGAAAAACAAGCAAAGATACAGTTTCTTTGATGACCATGGATATGGACATCGTGCTAGAGAAAACACAGCATCCTCTAAAACATGGTCCAACTTCCCAGATGCCCAGCGTCCCTTTATAGGCCTGCAGATGTGGGCAAAGCCACCCACAGGAAATAAGGTTCAACTTTTCGTAAGAAGCTTTCTTTGCCTTCTTCATGGTCTAGGGAGAGGATGGAAGGGATCTCACTCTCCCACACACTTAACCGTCTGGAGACAGGCAGCATGGCTGCCCACTCCTGAGGTGCAGAAACCAGCCCAGCACATTCTGCAGTGTTTTCTGTGAAGCTGAGTTAAGCAACGGCCAATGTCCCAGGAGAATCTCCCACTTGCCCAGATTTCTCTCTGTGTTTCAGTGAAACTGTAGATCATAACCACACTTTACACTTAATCACAAAATGGTTCTTAAATAGACATTTTTCCAAAGAGGACATCAAAATGGCCAACAGACACATGAAAAGATGCTCAGCCTCACTAATCATCAGGGAAATTCAAATCAAAACCAACCACAATGAGATATCACCTCACACCTTTAGGATGGCTGTCATCAAGAAGACAGGAGACAGCAGGTGCTGGCGAGGAGTGGTAAAAAGGGAACCCTTATACATTGTTGGTGGGAATGTAAATTGGTCCAACCACTATGGGAAACACTATGGAGGGTCCTCAAAAAATTAGGGGTAGAACTGCCATATGATCCAGCACTTGCACTTCCAGGTATAAACCCAAAGGAAGTGGAAACAGGGTTTTGACAAGATATCTGCACTCCCGTGTTCATTGCAGCATTATTCACAGTAGCGAAGATGTGGAAACGATTCAATTGCCCAGCAACAAATGAATGGATGAAAAAGATGTGATATGTGTACACAGTGGGACGTTATTCAGCCTTGAGCAAGGAGGATATCCTCCCGTTTACAACAACACGGATGCACTTTGAGCACATTACGCTAGATGAGATAAAGAGATAAGTCAGACAGAGAAAAACAAGTACCGTATGATGTCACTTTTATGTGGAATCTAAAATAAATCTGTAAAGAACAGAGTAAAATGGTGGTTACCAGGGGATGGCAGGGTGGTGAGAATGAGAGTGGTGGCGTTTAAGGGCACAAACTTGCAAAGAGTAGTAAATAAGCCTTAGAGCTTATTTAGATGCAGTTGAAAGATACAAAGTTTCTAAATAAATAAATAATAAAAGGGGAAAATAAAACGTACTTGAATAAAAGGGCTTTATTATTCTTTAAATTTTCCTTAGGTTTTTTTTTTTTGTTCTGTCAACCTAGAGAGGTTGGTAATATGGGATAAAATATATGGAAAAAATAGGCACGTGAGAAGGGTTGAAAATGAAGAGCTATTGAGGAGAAAAAAAATAGTTCTGTATTTTATGAAACTCCTGGCCTAGATGTAAAAAAGCCAGCAGAGCAACAGTTTTTAACAGCTTTCTTTTAGAATCCAAAATTTTAGTTATGAATGTTAAGGTTTTATCCTCCCTCCAGCCTGATAATTTTAAAAAGTCATCTGATGCTTCCCACTCTATGAAATAAAGAGTCTAATTTTAGCTCATCTCCTTTAGCCCCAACAATCTCTTCTCTTTTCTTCAGTCCCAATCCCTTTGCTTCTCCGTGTTTCTGAGGTTTCTCTGCCACGCCGCCCCTTCTGTCCCAAACAGAAGCTAACACTCGGCTGACTCTCAGACGCGTCCCTGGTCTCATCTTGCTCTGGGGCGGGTGGACACCATGTTGCTTTCTCAGATTTTCTTTTCTGTTGTAAGCGTAGAGCTGGTGCCGCCTTTACCTGAGTGTGCAGGTGTAGCGGTGCTCGGGGCAGTTCTGAGGTCTGTGTGTCCTTCTGCGCTGGAGGAAGACAGACCTAGGCTCTGGGATGCACAAGCACACACAGTGGGTGATGACCGCCTTTTTTCCTCCATTTGTGTCCTGACAGGGAGAGTCTTGCACGAGGAGCATGTTGAACTCTTGATGGAGGAGTTTGCATTCCTGAAGAAGGAAGTGGTGGGGAAAGACCTGCTGAAAGGCTCTCTTCTCTTCACAGGTCAGTTTTAGGTGGGATCCCAGGTCGTGCGTAACTGGTGAGGCCAGTGGCTACTGGGCTGCTTGCCTAGCTCTCTAGATGTGCGCTTGGATTCATTTTTCCTAAAGACTCTCTGACTGAGGACCAATTTAATTTAATCTCCCCATGCTTCCACAAACAAAAATATCTACTTTGCTTCTTTCCTCAAATGAGATGGAATTGCTTGGTGGGGCTTGGGTAAAACATATGTTACAGTCTCAAGCATATTTACGCTTCTGGGTCAGTTTGTTAGGTAGAATTTCCCCTCATGAAATCTTAACAAATTGGAGATTATTTTTCCACAGGAGGTTGAAAATGAAACCTCTTTTTTAAAAAAGGACTCAGAGACGCATTCTTGGACAAGAGAACATTTTTACACTTCTCTTTGTGGAGCAAATAAAATATGCATAGCCCCTTCTTCCTCCAGCAGGTTACAAGGACCTTGGCTGCGGCCAAAATATTTGGTCTGCCATATATTTGCTTATTTACTTTGGGTTTGTCATTCTTTAGGGGGCTACATTAGCAATAGGACAGGAGCGTCCTGGAGCCTCATGCTTTTTAAATCACCTTTGGATGGACTCCTTATTTGGTTACACCCAAGGGTGTCTGGGCCACCCTTCTGAGGGCTTTTCTTACAGAAAGAAAAGCCTGACATGGTCTGGAATAGTTAAATGGTAAAACTATTCATCTCTTCATGAGTTTCCAGAAAATGCAATGGAACCTCATTGCAAAATCCATCTTCATCCTTTAAAATGGTGATGTAATGAGAGTTGTGGGACAAATAATAATAACCATTGATCTGTACAAGGAACTATGCTAAGTATGTGACATGCATTAGTTTGTGTTAATTCGTATGATAATCCTATAAAGTGGGTATTTATTACCCCCATTATACAGGTGAAAAAAATGCAGCTCGGAGAGGGGAGCGCTCACAAAGTTGACTAAACAGTTGACTGGCTGAGCCAGATTGGCGCTCAGGCCTCTGACTTCATGGCTCAGACTTTCGATTGCCTCTCGGTCCTCTCCAAAGATCAAGAGCAGGCACTCACCAGCCCAGAGGGAGGTGCCTTTCTTTTTTAAGTTTGACGCTTAGGTCTCAGTGATTTCAAACCATGTTGTCTACGAAACATAATTTTTGTTTGCTTTTATTTATAACTTAACCTTTTTTAGAACATATTCATAATCATGAATTGCTTTAAGCTAATATCAAAGTTACAAGAAATCTTTGGCTTATAGAGCAACGTAATAGATATGAAGTCTTATAAATTTAGGTTATGCTTAAAATTTGTCCTGGGGACAGTGGGCAGCAGTATCTTGGCCAGATGGATTTCTCCCACAGGGATCGTTCTGAATGTACTTTTGTACACGAGATTATGAAGACTTAAGAAAACACTTAACACTGTATCAGTTTCTTGATATTGACGTAGTTTATAAGTATTACTGCTTGCTTTATGGCTATCATGATGCTTTCACCCTGTTGCCATTACACAGACAGTTACATGGTGTGTATGGAAATATAGGTTTGAGGGGCTAAAATACCTGATTCTTCTTTTTTTTTAGAAGACTTTTTAAATCACTAACAGAAGAGGATAGATATGTATGTATATATGTGTTACACAGACAGTTACATGGTGTGTATGGAAATATAGGTTTGAGGGGCTAAAATACCTGATTCTTCTTTTTTTTTTTAGAAGACTTTTTAAATCACTAACAGAAGAGGATAGATATGTATGTATATATGTGTGTATAAGTATACGTATGTTTACATACATACACACACACATATATGTAAGAAGCCTGAAACATCTTTATTATCCTGTGTGCTAGACGGACTGCTGTTTCCAATAAAATGTTTTTTTTACTAAAAGCAAGAAAAAAAGGAGGTGCTTGTACGATGGTTGCAGTCAGGCACCTGAGTCTCATCAGTACTGTTGGTGATCTTGCACACCCACACCCTCAGGCAGGGTTGCCTTGTCCCGATCACCTCGCCACGTCTGTTCACCCTCTGTCGTACCTGCCCCCACGGCCCGCCTGCTCTCCAGCTGGCAGGCCCTCGCTTCCCGGTCCCGGTCCCCACGTGTTTGTGCTTCCCCGCAGCTGGCCCGCTGGAACAAGAGCGGTTTGGCTTCCCCGCGTTCAGTGGCATTTCTCGCCTCACCTGGCTGGTCTCCCTCTTTGGGGAGCTTTCTCTCGTGTCCGCCACTTTGGAACAGCGAAAGGAAGATCAGTATATGAAAATGACTGTGTGCTTGGAGACGGAGAACAAACGGTAGGTCACGAGACCCCGTGAGGAGGAGGGAGCTTAAGGACGTCCTCGTGTGTTCCCGAGGGTGAATCTGGAGGTAGCCCAGCAGGCCTCCACCCCGCCCCCACTCCAGAAGGGCTGTCTGCTTCTGCAGACGGAGCAGATGCTGGGGTTGCGCTTCTCTTCCCTCATTTCATCCTCACTGCAGCCCTGGAAGGTAAACAAGACCAACAGGATCCCCTTTGCAGTAAGCAGAGGCTGGTAGAGTTTGAGCAGGTTGCCTACGCCACACAAGTGAGCAGTAGCAGATGCAGAGGCAGAAATCCAGTTACCTCTGTGCCCTGCATTCTTTCCAACGTTTTCTTAGGAAAGTTTCAGAGGGTGACGCTGAAAGAATTTTACTGAACATCCGTACAACTCCCACCCGGATCCTGCCATCAGCATTTTACCGTGCCTGCTTATCACACGTCCAGACCTTTGTTCCTCAGTGTGACCACAACTTAGTCAGCTGTACCATCACGTCATGCTGTCGTTCTATTCCCGAAATGTTCTGATTCTTTATTTCTCACGCCAAGTCTTTTTAAACAAAAGCATATTCATAATTTTCCTTGAAAAGCATTTGCACTGTGTAAAATGTTTCAAACAGCCAGAGTTTTAGAGTGTTTCTATATCTGTTTCCAGATAGGTGGGTGTCTTGGTAGTAAAAGAAACAGACCATCGGGTAGTTACAAAGAGAGAAGTATTTGAGTTCCCGAATGAAGCTGATCTGTGTCCCTTTCCAGGAGGTTCCCCTTTGCCGAGGGGCGGGGGCAGAGGTCACAGGTGCAGGGAAAGCGTGCAGAGCTGGGAAGTGCTGCATGTGGAGAGATGGCGTGGGGCCGCTGACTGTGACGCCGGCTGTGGGGTGTTAGAATTGCAGCCATGACAGGTGCGGTCCCCTGTGTTCAGAGCTGAAGGCAGCTCAGGGTGCTCAGGAGCACAGGGAACGGGGCTGGAGGGGTCAGATCCCACTTCTCAGAGGGGAAGGCTTGACGTCTGAGGAGGAGTCAGACAGGAAACGAGACTTGAGGGAAGCAGAGGCTGACCCGTCACTGCAGGGGGAGGCACGCTCTGGGTGAGGGGCTGGGACAGATGGCAAATCCCAATTATAACAACTTCTTAAGTTCATCTAGTACTTTCCACTTCACAGACTGCTTTGTAACCTCACACCACCACCACCAAAGGTAAAGCCGTGTTCTTATTATCATGACTTATTTTTACTGCTTGGGAAACTGAAGCGGAGGAAACATCCTAACCTTTTGCATTCCCTCGAACCCTCAGACTCCGTGTTAGAATGAAGGACATGAGAAGTTTCCTTAGATGGATCAGAATGTTTGGAATATCTCAAATTTATTTTTATCTGGTATTAAAGCAATAAATAAGGAGCATTAATATTAATCTTTGTCATCACATTCTGGGATGTTTGTAAAGTCTGTACCATGAGCTTTTAAAACGAGCCATGGGTGGATCCAGCCCTGTGCTGTAGTGGTTAAGTTCGGCGCGCTCCACTTTGGCTGCCTGGGTTCACGGGTTTGGATCCCAGGTGTGGACATACACCACTCTTCAGCCATGCTGTGGCAGCCACCCTCATATAAAGTGGAGGAAGATTGGCACAGATGTTAGCTCACAGCTAATCTTCCTCAGCAAAAAAAAAAAAAAACAACAAACAAACAAAAAAATCTAGCCATGGCCTGAAACTAACATGTTGCATGTCAACATACCTCAAAAAAACAAGCAAACAGGCCAGCCTGGTGGCAGTGGTTAAGTTCATGCACTCTACTTCGGCGGCCTAGGGTTCATGGGTTCAGATCCCAGGCATGACCTACACACTGCTCATCAGGCCATGCTCTGGCAGCATCCCCTATACAAAATAGAGGAAGATTGGCACAGATGGTTAGCTCAGGGCCAATCTTCCTCACCACAAAAGAAAACAAGCTGACAAACAAAAAACTAGCCATGGGAATTAATCTTTTAGAAGAAGTTAGACCAGCTTTTTGATAGAGTTTGTAATAGTCATTTATCTATTTATTTATTTATTTATTTGTGTGAGGAAGATTGGCCCTGAGTTAACATCCGTTGCAATCTTCCTCTTTTTTCTTTTTTTTTTGCTTGAGGAAGATTAGCCGTGAGCTAACATCTGTGCCAGTCTTCTTTCCCCACTTTGTAGCCAGTCTTCCCCTACTTTGTACGTGGGATGCCTCCACAGTATGGCTGTTGAGTGGAGTCGGTCCACACCCGGGATCCGAAACTGGCGAACCCCAGGCTGCCAAAGTGGAGTGCACAAAACTTTTAACTACTCGGCCATGGGGCCAGCCCCTGTAGCAATCATTTATTTTTTAAAATTTAAATCATAACCAAATATTTTAGTTGCTAGACTGAACACCTAGTTTTACTAGTTTACTAATTTAACTGCTGCTTCCTAGATTCTTTGCCTGACCTGAGTATGAATTTTTGATTTATAAGCTAGCATTGATTCACACACAAGTCATTTTAGTGACTTCCAGAATAGAAAACTTGCTTGACTGCAGATCTTCAAAGCAGACTGGTCGCTGCCCGGGTTCCGTGCCCGGGGTCCAGTGCGCTGTGTGACAGAGAAAGGCCATCTCCTCCTGTGGACGCAGCCCTGGCTTCTGACTCCCCTGGGGAAGATGCTTTGGGCTCTGTGGGCCTCTTTTCCCTCTGTCCCTAGCTCATCGCAGTCTGCAGCCACAGTTTGTTTCAGGGGTGGGTCAATGTCTTTGCAGGGCTTGTCATGACACATTAGAAGCCACTGCCAGTTGTTCCCAAACACAGTGTGTTAAGTTCTAGCTACCTTCAGACCACGCTGTGGGATGGAGTGGAACCACAGCAGGGGCTGGGGAGGTGGGGAGGCGTGATCTTGAAAGGTCACAATAAAAGGACGAGCAGGACGGGGCTCATTACTTGATCCCTGTTGTACAAGTGTGAGTACCAGCTACTGTTTATTGGGTGCTCACTACGTGCTGGGCCTGGGCTGAGCCCTTTTACAGGGATTTTCTCATATAATCTTTATGCCAGCTCTGAAATGGGTGTTATTCTTATCACCTAGGAAACTGAGGCTCAGAGAGGTTGAGAAACTTGCCAAGAACACAGAGCTGTAAGTGATGGTGTGAGAATCACACTTAGGCAGCCTGTCTCCGGTTCTCAGGTTGTCACGCCTTCTCCCCAGGAGTGCACAGGAAGGGCACGAGAAAGGGGTATCATGGAAACCCCACCAGGCCTTGTCCTCTCGGTGAAGCAGTTATCATTAGCCTCAGATCCCAGAGTCAGCTGGGCAGCCTTAGTGCAACTTATTCCCAAGCCCGTGTTCTTTTCATTTTACCAGCAGTTTTCAAACTTTGTAAAAATAAGCATTAGAATGCTTTTTCAACCCAGATCTTTTGTGGATAGCCAGTACAGAGAAGAGGTGCACGCTTCAACTCTCCTGTTGAAGCCAGTTTGTGGGAGTGGTGCCAACGCCATGCAGCTGCTGCCTGCCCGTCCTTCAGGGCTGGGGGAGGAGCGCCACCAGGAGGCGCCACCTCCGCGGTGCTTGCAGACACCTGCGGACGCTGAGGATGTGCATGTGTTTGAACATCTTCCTGTAGAAGCTGAGAAGTAAGAAGCGTTTTGCAGGTAGTCAGTGCCCGGGTTAGTGAATGCAGGTATTTGCAAGTGAAGGTTCTCACAGAGAGGAGCAGCAGAGGAGCTGTCTGTGAATTCAAGCTGGTGCTTTTGGTTGGGGTGTCTGGAGCTGAGTGCCGTCCAGGCCCAGGGCACAAGGGGACCAGGTCCTGTCCTCCTCTCTGCTCCACCCAGGTGGCAGTGAAGTGCCTGCAGCCTGTGGCCTCACTTCAGTACAGGATTAGGAAACAGCGTGACTTGTCAGTGACCACAAAACGAGGACGTTATTGTTTCAACTCTCTCCTGATGTCTCCTGCACGTGTGGGTGTTGGCGTGGCTCCTCGTTGATGTCCTTCAGATCTTTTCCTCTTAACCACTCACTCCACACTCTATAGAGTAGCTCTTGGTAAGCCAGGTTGGCCTTACAGCCCCGTACAATCTAGTGACCTGCTTGGCCCTTTTCCCTGTAACCCCACACCTACGTCTTAAGCCTTATCCTGGCCCATCACTCTAGAGGCGGAGAAGAAACAAACAATCAAAGGTACTTTCCTTTCATCCTTAGCAACGCTGGTCTAACCCGGCCCTGCCAGGCCTCCCTTCTGCGGCCCAGTGGGAGAGGAGGGGAAGTCTGAGCGGTGGTGGCGGGAGAGAGGAGAAGGCAGAGACCCCCATGCTGGTCAGGATCTAGCACTTTCCCTGTTTACACTGAAAACTCCATCGCTTAGCGCGACAGCCCAACACAATTCCCTCGCCCTTGACCCTGACGCATCCCTGAGAAAGAAAGGGGAGGAGAAAGCAGCGAGAAGCAGCCAGAGACCAACACCTAGTCATCGCGTTCCTGGGACTCCGTTCTAAGGAAAAGGAGGAGGGAACACTGTATATGTGTATCTGTGTGAAGATGTTGAATGCAGGGTATCCAGATTAATTTAAGATTGGAAAGAGGTTAAATGTTTGGCAACAATAAAATATTAAATAAGTTATGTAATCAATTGTGCATGCTATGCAGCCAAAAATAATCATCATAGCAGTATTTCTAGGATCATAAGAATATTTTAAAATAAGTAAAAGAAGCATAATCAAAAATTATTTATACTTGATGATTTCCATGTTACATGCATATAGACAAATATTTGAAATGATTGCCTCAAACTAAAGATACTTTTATTTAGTTGAAAGAATTATGGATTTTCTTTTTATGTAAAAAGTCCTTAAATCAATGCTGTATTGTTTTTAGAATATATTTTTAAAAGCTGATTTTCTGTTTTTCCTGGAATATTATTCAATGAAGCTTCTTACTGTAGGTCAGTGTCTACTTAGGACGTTTCTCCGTTTTTCGTTGGGCAGATAACAGCTCTTAGCTACTGTCAGGACAGAAAAGATAAAGCCAGAGAAAGGAGAGACTTCAGAGGGGTGGAGTCCACTCTGTTTGGGTTTTAGGTTTCTTCGAGTGCTGGCATCAGCCTGGGGCACAGATGTGGCGTGGACACAGAGGCTTTGTTAATCTGCAGCGAGAATCTGGTATTTTCCGGCGTGTGCTTGGGCTCGTAGACTTGTTTGAGAATGTAATGAAAGAACTCTTTCCCACACAAATGCACATATCCGTGGAGACAACAGTTTGGCCCATCTCCAGTGGTTCATGGATTGCCTGTAGCCCCTGTCTGGATCCCCTAACAGGGACCACGAGACTCAGGGTAAGAGCTCCTGAGCAACAGACTGGTGTCCACACAAAATCATTGGATGAATTCCCCGGCCTGATGGTAAATTTATATAAAGGACCATCTGGCAGTGAAGTTGGAAACAGTCATCCGCGGCCCTTGTGAGGCTGCTGGAGGTCGGAATGCCGCCTGCGTCACCGCCTAAAGCAGCAGCTGCGGACTGTGGGTGCCAGAGGACTTGTTAGCGGTTGCTCAGGTGCCAGCAGCGTCCATTTGTCATCTCTAACATCTGCTTCTTTGTCTCCGCAGTCCGCTCACGTGGATTGAAGAGAAGGCACCTGGTCTCAAACGGAACAGACATTTAAGCTTCCACTTCAAATCTGGGTCCCTGGAGAATATGCCAAATGTAGGCGTCAATAAGAATATTTTCCTGAAAGATCAAAATATATTTGTCCAGAAACTCTTGGGCCAGTTCTCAGAAAAGGAACTGGCTGCTGAAAAGAAGCGCATCCTGCACTGCCTGTGGCTGGCGGAGGAAATCCAGAAACACTGCTACTCAAAGGAGTAAAAGTGGGTGGCAGCAGGCGCTAGCGAGACCGACCGGAGTCTGATTTTTATGGAGAGTTGACCGTTCTCTCTCTTCTTACAATTAAACATGTCCTGGGTAAACAGGATTTGCTTATTGTCACCCCCCGTGTTGGGACTGATGTTTGGGGACAGGGCACGTGCGGTGGGAATGAGGCGGGAGCTCGCCGTGGCTGAGCCTCGCTAAATGCTTTGCCTGCCTGGTTTCATTTACTCTGCCCGGCAGCCCGGTCAGGTGGGTGTTACCAGGCTTGTTTTCGTTAGTGTTTTGGGAAATTCTCTTTGAGGCCACTCGGATACTCAATGGCAGAACCAGCCTTTAAACCCCACTCCTGCATTGAACCAGTACACAATAGGGCCTTGAACCCTCTTTAAGGAATTTTATTTTCCCCCACAAACTTTGGCTGGGTGACTGTGCTAGGTCCTGGGGATTCTAGAAATGAATAAGACATAGCCACTGCCTCAGTGACTCAGCGTCCAAAGGGAACCAGTCACACAAACCGGGCATTGTAATGTAGTCGTTGGTCCAATAAAAGCGATACACCCCTGGCCATCTGGAGAAGGGTTCAGGGAAAACTCTCAGCCAGCCCTTGATGATGAGTAGGTTAGCTGTGCAAGGGTCCGAGGACGGCTCTCCCGGCAGAGGACTGGCGTGAGCAAGGAGAAGGAAGTGATAAGCAGCTTGCTATGTGCCCTGGGAACAGTGTTGCTGGGACCTCGGGGCTGGGGAGGGAGTCCCGGAGAGACCTTCTGGCCGTGGGGGGCCCTGTAAGCCAGGTGAAGGAGCTGGGACACTGTTACTAGGCAGGGTAGAGGCTGAAGGCTGTTATCTGATGGGAGTGGCGTGGTGAGGTTTCCAGTTTAGGGGAAGCACTCAGAAGGCTGCCAGGAGGAGGGGAGACTTGAGACCGAGGAGGAGGAGGCCCCCATTGAGACCAACAAGTGTGTTCGCTCTTGCAGCCCGTGGGCTGTCTGGACTTGTCGCTCATGTTGAGTCAGACTCTGCTGACCCTGTGGCAGAGCTGAGTCCAGGAAGCTGCTCTGTGTCCTGTTGCATTTTCTTCAAGTTTGTGTTAGATTTCTTGCTTCTGTAAGTGTCTCCCTCTTGGTTTTTGCCTGCTCCCCACTTGCCATTGTGAGGTTTAACCAGTTCAAAAGCTGTGAGGTCACTGGTGGAGGCAAACTCTGTTTCTATTATTTTATCACCATAGCGCCTCAAGGTAAAGCAGGCAAAGATACTAACTTAAATCTAAAGAAAAAATTCTCTAGGTTATTCTTTTATTTGCCGTATAAAATAATTTGTAAAAAATATTGGTCAGTTGGTTCTCTTTCATTATCCACATCAAATGTCCCTTGGCCAGGAAGTGTTGTACATATTTTGTGTGCTGTGCAGCGTCCAGCATGAGGTAAATATGAAATATCTGATGTTTAAAATGCTGTGCACTAGCCTCTCCCGTTTGGGCTTGAGGACTCTGCTGTTTCAAAAACACTGGCTCCTGTTTGATATTGGAAGTGGGGGTGGGTGTCAAAGAAAACCAGAGCAGGACTGTAAAGTGGTATAAGCAGATTTTATCCAGGACTATTGCAATAGAGGCAGAGACCCCCGTATAGAACTGAGCTCCATCCCGAATACAGCGAGGGCAAGGGAGGGTTATACCCAAGGGGCAGGGTGGGGGTCAGTGAATGGAAGGTTACTCAGAGGAAGCATAATTCTAGCTGAACCAACTTGACAGGTTCTTGCTGAAGGGAGGCCAGGGAGGTCAGATACCAAGGGTGAGAGATGAGGAATTTGATCAGATATTGAGGGTAGGGATTCTTATTAAACTGAGTAGGATTTTTGTTGAAATTGGGCGATGCAAGACGGACATGGAAGTCCAAAGGTCGAGGCCTAGTGGAGAAGAGGGCTCAGAGGAGCCTGACTAAAGTTTGGTCAAGGAGAGCGTCTTTGTCATGGGCTGTGTGATTACTGACTGGTATTGATAACTATTCATCTCAAGCTTGTTTCATCTGTCGTCAAGAGACTCAAAATGGAGACATCCATTAATTTTACTAGTTGGTAGGAATTGCAGAGGAGGACGACGAGGAGATGGGACAGAACCGAACCTGGAGAGATGGTGATGGAGCAGCGGTCTTCTTACAGTTCTGTTTACACTGCCCTCGTCTTCCTTGGGGGCTCTGCAGCCATCCTGGCTACACCCACTGCAGCGTTCCCAAATACGCTTTCCCCTGAAGACCTCCCCCCCACACACAGCTTCTCTTCCAGAGTATCACAGAGTAGAGGAGCCACAAGTATCCCTCAGCCGTTTGTTCATAGTACCCAAAATAGTGACCTCCCTTTTCTCCCTTGCCTTTAGGCTGTCTTGACTCCTTGGAAAGTCTAGTGAGAAAAGGGGGACTTGAGGTCTGAGATTTGAGAACAAATTAGGCTCTCTGTCCAACTTGAAGGGAAAAGTCTTCTATCCCTTTTACTGTACTCACACCTGTAAGTGTTAAGGGGTCCTCTCGGAGGAAAGTAACTTACTCTGCAGTGCCCTTGACTGTCTCCAGGGACCCCTCTCTGCCCTCACCCACTCCTCCTTTGGCAGGAGTAACCTGCCCAACAGGTGAAGCTGAGAAAGTGATAAAGCATGCGAGCCAGCCACCCTCTCGATTCCCCTGAGTTCTCTGCTTGTCCACGTGGTGGGTGACTGGGGCAGCCTCTTCCTCTGCGATGATGGAGTCGCCTGCAGCTTTGAAGACTTACGTTACTCCATCAGAGGGCGGATTAGCACAGCTACCTGGCTGTAGATGCCAGCCACGTTCCCAATCAGCTTTATCATCATAGAACTGAGTCTTTGTGAAATGCTTCATCTCTCCCCTACGTCGAGCTTAATTGGTCCCTAAAATTGGGAAGGAGAAAAAGGAATCTTCCTTGCTGGCCCCTTGAATTTCAACCGTATGTTATCTCCTTGTGGTCCTTTGCCTGAAAAATCAAGTGGAAAAAAAAGGGTGAATATTTTAGTCAGTGACGCTAGAGTTCCTCAGGAGAGAGCCTATTTTTGGAAAATTCTTTGATAAGCAGTGGTGATGGAGATGGAGGGGATGAGAGAAGAGTTGTGAGGTCAGGGAAAGCCTCGGAGACCTGGGTTGGGAGATTGAGGGGAAAGACATAAATAGGCAAACCTCTCTGTGAAGGGAGCCTAAATGGGAAAGGAGAAGAGAATAAGTCCGAGAGAGCTAGGCCCTCAATAGTCAACGTGGGTGGTGTGCTACCAGCAGCCTGCGCATTGGCTGGCCTGGGAGCACATTGGAAACGCAAATTCTCAGGCCCACCTCAGACCTGCAGAGTATGAATCTACATTTTAATAAGATCTCAGGGTGATTCATGTGCATAGCAAAATCTCATGGAGCTCATGGACTAGTAAGGAAGAAAAATGTTATTTAAATAATAAATGTTAAAGCTCAACTAGGAAAAAGCTACAAAGAGGATTTGAAAGGCTTCTGCCAACGAGAGTTTTCTCCGGGCAAGAAGTCGCCAAAGAACGTGCTGAAACCTGAAGGTTGAGAAAGACTTTCAGCAGATGCAGGCAGGCGGGAGATGGGGCGGGCATTCCAGGCGGAAGGAACAAAAGTGCAAGACCCCTGTGTCCAGCCGTGTCTGAGGCCAACACTGCCCCTGGATCTACGGGCACGTGAAATGCCTTTTGGTGAATTCCAGTTGGCTTTCCTAAACCTAGCCATTTCTTTGAAATTGTGAAATGTGAATGAGCTACTAACGAACGTTGGAAAGTCTTTTTTGCTGACTAAAAAATTATGCTAATTACCACTTATTCAGCAAACAGTCTGCTCCAGGCCTGGTGCTAAGAGTTTTACATACTCTATTCCATTTACCCTTAATAACGCCCATATAAGGCCATATGCAATAAGCACTTTTCATTCATCTTTTTAAACAAATGGTTGAAACTGAGACTCGGAATTTAAGCCACGTGGCCAGTTTCTCTCACATAAGTCAGGAGATGGCAGAGTATAGCCTGCAGGCCAGAACTGGTGGCCACTGCCTGTTTGTGTAAAGTTTTATCGGAACACAGGCACGCTCATTCATTTACGTGTTGTGTACAACCGCTTTCATGCTTTAACAGCATTGTGGAGTTGTTGTGACCAAGACTGTAGGCCCAAGTCTAAAATATTTACCGTCTGGCCCTTTACAGAAGATGATGGCCAGCCCCTGTTCCAGGGAGAGGAGCCCAGAGCTGAGCTCAGACCTCTCTGGCTGCGGTTTTCCTTTCAGTATTCATGCCCCAACTCACGTCAAGGTAAAAGGTATAGACACTGTCATGTCGTAAACACCAAAATGTAAAGTCTGGAAACTGCAAGGGGTGCTTGGAACACGCTTTCCAAGTTTCATTGTTAACTGTTTCTGGTTTTGGTATGCGTCATTTATTCATTCTTTTGTGTTCAACTAACATTGGATGAAGACCTACGATGTGTGCGTGCTGGCTGTGCTGGGCTCCAGGGAGGCTGAAGGGAGTGTGACGCGGCCCCTGCCTCAGGATGCTGACAGCTTACTGAGGAATGGCTCACACCAGCTGGAGCGTGTGGTGTCCTCGGAGAGGCACAGCCTGAAGCCAGGGGACCCCAGAGGGGGAGGGGGCACTTCTGCATGAGACTTCTGGGAGGAAGTGGCATCTGGGTCGAGCCAAACAGGGAAGAAGTAGGAAAACAGGAATATTTTCAGAAAAGAAGAGAATGATGCAATTTGACAGCACAGAGGAGCCAGGTAGGAGATGTAGCTGAGAGGCAGGAAGGGGCTAGAGCTGGAGGACTCCAGGGACACAGAGGTGGGACCTCAGGAGACTGGCTGCAGCCCCACTAACACTGCTAAACTGGACTGTGACCTCGCTAAAATCATCTGATGTCTCTGGGGTTCTGTTTCCTCTTAAAAGAAGGGGTAGGACCAGATAATCTGTAGAGTCCTTTCAGGAGGATTTTGAGCGAGAGGGTATCATGAGTAGAGCTGCTTCTCAGGATGATGGGCCCTGGAGAAAAGGAGGTCCGGGCCCATGTCTTTCTCCCCAGGCAGGTGACTGAAAGAGGGCTATGCCTTTGAGAGAAAGCAGCCTTTAC